AAAAAACGACGAATTATGCTGTTTCTCAAATTGCACTAGCAAGTTTTTTATATAAAAAATATATACCTGTATCTTTTAACATATTAAGTTCCTACCTTCTTCACAAATGTGGCTTCTGCAATGACTACAGTCATATCTTTACCAGACTCCGTCTTGGTAGAAAACCACACATTGAAAGTACGTGGTAGTGATGTTTTCTCCTTTTACATCAATTGGTTCACCTCTGTAGCCCTTGGAGTATGGTTTCACATATCCAAAATGCAATAGAACCATTCCAACAAGTTTAGCAGCCTCTTTCGCATCTTTTGCAGCGACATATAAATTGTGACAATCCCCGTGCTTCGTAAATACATTGTATCCGATGTAAGGTTCGCTCTTCTAAAAATATGTAAATTATAAACAGCTTTGAGTCAACATGTATTATGACGCGTCCTTACAGAAAAAAAATTGCATATATATCCGCAAACATTGTGCTTACCAGGTTACGACGCGCGGTAGACAACTTTTCCAAGTGGCTCTTCGTTTCTTCGCCATGCAATGACTTTAGCACTCATTTTGCTTCATCCACGTGTTTGTCTGTGAAAGTTACACCACTATGTTTCGCTCTAAAATGCTGAGCGAGCCCGTTCACCTCAAAAAAATCATTTGGAAAATCTCGTCTACATTGCGGAAGAGGACATGGAATCTTTTCATTTATATAGGCGGCATGAAACGGCCTCTCGTGAAGTCTCGCTGCATTTACACAATCATCGTTGGCGCCCGCCATTACTGTTTCCGTCATGTTTCTTTGTGATCTGCCAGTCGTCAATTTTTCTTCGTCGTTCCCATGCCATCATGCAACGCAAAACTCCGTACACTGATCTATATAAATCGTAATTGACGACTGGGTACGAGTCAGCCATTCGCATGCCTCGCTTTCCGCCATGTTGATCGTGCTGAACTACATTAATCACCAGGCCGTCTGAGCGCCTAATCGGCCATGTGTCGCGAATTTATCATAATGATAAATTCGGACGTGTTTAAGAATTTACTCATATAGAAAATTCAAAGGTGGAGCTCATGTTGATAAAAACAAATAATCCAACATGAAATGAATATCTTCATATTTTTCGTATTTATTTTTGTGCAATCTACAACACTACAACACTTGTCAATCATCTTCTATGACTGTGTCTAAAAATTACATGTGGGCGTCCACGGTCTAAATTAGGGCCTGAATTTCAGGTTATTGTAGCACAAACACAGCCACTTCAACATCGTGTCATTCAATGTCGTTAAAGCCAAGGCCATGCCAAAGTACTTATGTCATAATAAATTTTTGTGCATAATTATGCAGGTGTTAATAGGCCTTTCTTTGATTCATGTTTGATTGTGTTTGATAATTGCATGCCGGAAATATAATTGTTTGGTATTTTGTGGAAAGTTCGCGCTAACTTTATTTTGTATTAGTGCTAGCTTTCGATCCGTACGGCGGCCTACATTACTTCACCAGAAATTCTTGTGGCCCCAAAGTCAATAATGGAGACCGGACTTGGATCGAAAACTTCGTCAAATCCGAGGCAAGGAAAATAAACGACGTGTATACAAAACAAAACAATTATCTTTATTTTTATTTTTAGCACGCAAACCTACTAGATCAAGTGTCTTATTGTGATTTATTATAATCGTATCAAGATAACAAAAAATATTTAACAAGCAAAATACAATTATTGCATTAAAAAACCCCCGGAATATGCGTGCTAAGCAACTATCTTTTTATCTCCAAATTACGGCTAGTAGCAATACTTTTAATCTGTTTTTAAATATTTTTAGCTTCGACGCAATTCCCTGAATGTCTACGAAGTCCTGTCTTCTGTGATATTTGCTCATGGGCATGGCCATGTATACAACAGTAGAGTAAACTCTTTTGTTTTATACATGGCCATGCCCATGAGCAAATATCACAGAAGACAGGACTTTGTAAACATTCAGGGAATTGCGTCGAAGTTAAAAAATATTTTAAAATAGATTAAAAGTATTGCTACTTGCATTTTAGGCAGAAAGACTGCATTTTAGGCAGAAAGACCATGTAAAACTGTATAATATCCTACTGTAGAAGTTGTACAACTTTTCTAGCTTATCGCTTTTCGTTCTCGAGATATTTTGGTTTAATTTGATATGTAAATCTATGACATTCAGTACAAGCGAGTAAAACGTATTTTCAAACTGGTGGCAGTCTCGTCAATGGTTCAAAAATTATGAAATAATTCAAATCAGATTTGTTGATTCCTTTGACAAACTTGCGTTTAATAATTTAAGTAATAAAGGTGACGTATGTGCGCGGAACTCTGAAAGTATTATTACGCGCACTGCTTTCTTTTGTAAGGTTATCAGAGGCTTCATATTTGTAATATAATTATTACCCCCACGTCAAAACGTCAATACTTAAGAAAAGAAAATGTAATTGTATAATAAATTTGAAGCAATACTTGAGTAAATACAAAACTACGGAGTTTTAATTAAATACCAATTCCCATGGATATCTTTTTTAAAAGTTCCAAAATATGATTCTTCTAATTTAGATGACGGTCCATAAGAATACCTAAGTAATTATACTTTGTTCTTCTGTGATTTTCTGTTCGCATATTTTAAAATTAAGAATACGATAGGGATTTTTTTGCACAGGACGAAAGAGAACAAAGTTTGACTTTTTTGACGTTCATTCAACGCTAACTCACTAGCACATGGTCATGAACTTTGAGTAACTGTTCATTCAAATTCCTTTCTAAAGCTTCGAGATTTCTCAATTAGAATAATACAAATTAGAATCATTAGCAAATAAATGAAAATCTAAACTAGTAGCAGAATACTAAAGTCATTTATATATAACAAAAACAGAAGTGGTCCCAAGACGGAGCCCTGCGGAACACCACATGTTATATTTACAGTATATTTCCGATCAGACACAACATTGCCAATTGACACAAATTGTTTTCTATTGCTTAAGTACGAGAAATACCATTGCTATGGTAATCCACTATATAATACCAAAATGCTCAAGTTTTTTTAAAATTAATAAAACTTTCTCTCTGTTACTGGAACGAAGCAGGAGGCCATTTTGTTTTGGTCCCGGGGTGAATAGTATATTATTTTGTTAATACACTGTAAATTTTAAGGAGTCTGATGAACACCAAAAGTATTATTGTGTCATCGATTTTGGTGACAAAATAACCATTTTGGAGTTAATATAATCAACTCCAAAAGTACTATTTTGTCACCAATAAGGGTGACAGAATAACGCTTTGGGAGTTGATGAGACACTTTGAAATTTACAGTGTAGTACTTAGGTATATAGATGTAAAATTTGTTTGTATAGCGTACTTATTTGCTGAAGGGCTGTCGTTATTTTTATTTAAATTAGATTAAATAATAATTCCCGAGCCACGGGCGGAGAGCGTAGGGAGAAGCCCATGGCGAGGATACTAATTCCGCTGGCTATTTAGGAGCGAAGGTCCACTAATATCGAGCATCAGCCGGTCACGCTCAAAGTTTCGATTTTGCTCATTTTTGGTTTGCAGGAAGGCATTACCAAGTAAACAAACGTGATGTAGTTTGTTTTTCAAAAAACCGCTAAAATTCTGAGAAATCCGGGAAAAACGATTCAACTGTCGGCGGCCTAAAAAATATGCAAATTTTCAATTGAATCGAACAGGTTAAAAAACAACTAACGCATGCAGAATTGGAGAAGATTTGAAAACTGTACGTTTGTAAATTGATGGAAGAGATGTTTGAGACTCGATTGAGTATAAAATCATGATATTAACTATTAATTAAAACCAGACAGCTGATATTTAGAATCGTATGGTATTCACACATAGCTAAAATTACAATCTACCGTTGCCACGCCAAAACCATTTTAACTAAGTGCCCCAGATTTTTTCTGCACGAAACGTACGCCATTAACTAATCAAATGTTCTTCTACAACATATAAAAAAATTAGTTTGGGTTATTGTATTTAGAGTTCGTACGGAGGCCGTGAATATTGGGTATTTTCGCATATAGCGTGACTGAAATCGACAAATGTTTTGTTCCTTCCGGAAGTTCCGGTTGTTATTTAACAAATATAAAACATTTTCCGTGTTGATATACAGTTATATCAACACGAGTGGAAATTGGGAAAACGAGAAATTGTGTGGAAACACGACGCCCGAAGGGCGGTGTGTTTTCACACAATTTCGAGTTTTCCCAACTTCCACGAGTGTTGATATAACTATATATCAATACGGAAAAAATGTTTTATATTTGTTTTATAATATAGCAATGTCAAAAGCCCGAAGAATAAGAACAATTTCCGTGTTACAAGCGGCGGAAAATTTCCCGTGTTGACATGGAGTTATATCAACACGGCTCTTAGCCAATCAGCGTTCAGAATTTACAAATGCTATATTATAATTTCTCATATTAAATAGTTGTTATTTTCATCGGGAATTAAACCCGAAAATACATTTCCTCAAAAATGGCTATTATTAGCAAGTTACATGGTTTTAGCAGTCACAGCAATAAGACTAAGTAGATAGTGCTATGACCGAGATAATTTCTGTACATTTTATACCGATTACATGGAGAGTTTTCAGCCTGGGCTGAATTTCAGCCCGGTAAACCGAGCCGAAGTAGCATCACGATTACATGGGCAGTTTGAACCTGGGCTGAGTTTTAGTCAGAGCAATATTTATTCCTTGTATAGTATTAAAACAAACCCGGGATGAAATGTCATCCCGGCCTGAAATCATACGATATCACGAAAGGCAATATTCCGCTTGTTTGAGCATTTAAAACGCCGATTAGTCGACTATTTGACTTGTGTAAGACTGTGGTTGCATATAAAGTATGAAAGATAAGACGAAATGCAAAATAAAGCCATTTAAACGATTCTTTTTTTTACCCTGGGCTGAAATTATTTGCAATTACATGGGATATTTCATCCCGGTTGACAGGGCTGAAAATCTCATCCTGGGTGACATAAACCGGGATGAAAATTTCAACCCGGCCTGAATTTCAGCCCTGTCAACCGGGATGAAATATCCCATGTAATCGCAAATAATTTCAGCCCGGGCTAAAAAACAATCGTTTAAGTGGCTTTATTTTGCATTTCGTTTACACTTCGAAATTTTTTCCATATAATCGTAAAATTCATATTATATTGAATTTATAGGGGGCCCGGGCTGAAATTTCATCCCTGTTTGCCAGGCTGAAATTTCACCCCGGGCTGAAAACCTCCACGTAATCGGCCCCTTACTTTAACTAAAGACAAAACTTAGCACATTTTCACTAAGCTATAAAAGAAGGATGACTTCGAAATTATTTTCAGTTTTTTTTAATTGTTAGTTTGCATGTGGTTTGGCTGAACATGCTCAGAGGACAGAGACAGAGAAATTGTAATAAAATTCAGAGGTGGTTAAAACTGAAACTTTCTGCTCAGTTTTATGGCCTTTTTCTCATTACATATTTCAGTTTGTTGGGTTTGTTTTTGCTATATTGCAGCTTGAAATCCTAAACACTTTTGTGGTGAAAAGTAAACTATCAGGTAAGAGCGCCGGTTTGTCTTGAGACAGCGATCGGGCGATGTAATTAACGTGTAAATTTCGTATCTGGAAAGTTTGATACTGCATGTCTAAAAATAGATTTTGCCAAGGTCTGGCCACAGAATAAAGATCAATACCAGAAGGGCCACTCAGCGGTGCAACGTGTCGCCATTTTTCTATGCAAAAATATGCAGTTGACTGGCC